TATATATATGGTTAAATATATATATAGTTATATATATATGGTTAAATATATATAGTTATATATATATGGTTAAATATATATATAGTTATATATATGGTTAAATATATATATAGTTATATATATGGTTAAATATATATATAGTTATATATATGGTTAAATATATGGTTAAACCTTGTACTGTTGATTTTTAAAATATAAGCAGATACTTTTGTATGTGTAGCCCCACTCTTCTTAAAAAGTAACATGCTATAACATACTTTTCTCTAGTCTGCTTTTCTCAGTTAATAATATTAGAATAGAGGTAAATTTTTTTTTTTTTTACAGCTATGTAGTATCCATTGTGTAGATGTACCATACTTCTTTTTAACCAATTCCCTATTGATGGACATTTCAGTTTCCTGATTTTTGCTATTACAGATAATTCTGCAATAGCTTTGTGCCTATCTTTCTATTTTTGCTGGTGTATGTTTGGGATTCCTAGAAATCTGCTTACTAGGTCTAAGCATAAATGCATGTGTAATTTTGCCAGTTACTACAAAATTTACCTCCATACGGACGATTTTGCATGACCATCAGCAATGTATCAGAGTGCATGCTTCCTCACAACCTTGCCAAAAAATTATCAGACCTGGGATGTTGCCAGTCTAATAGGTGAGATACAACTACATATACTTTTAATTTTTATTTTTCTTATCATGGGGTCATGGACTGAATTGTGTCCCCCCAAAATATGTGTCAACTTGGTTAGGCCATGATTCCCAGTATTGTGTGGTTGCCCTCCATTTTGTGATTGTAATTTCACGTTAAAGAGGATTAGGGTGGGATTCTAACACCCCTACTAAGGTCACATCCTTGATCCAATGTAAAGGGAGTTTCCCTGGAGTATGGCCTGTACCACCTTTTATCTTACAAGAGATAAAAGGAAAGGGAAGCAAGCAGAGAGTGGGGACCTCATATCACCAAGAAAGCAGCATCAGGAGCGCAGTGCGTCCCTTGGACCTGGGGTTGCTGCACGGAGAAGCTCCTAGTCCAAGGACCTTTCTCCAGAGCCAACGTAGAAAGCCTTCCCCTGGAGCTGACACCCTGAATTCGGACTTCTATCCTACCAGACTGTGAGAAAATAAATTTCTCTTTGTTAAAGCCATCCACTTGTGGTATTTCTGTTATAGCAGCACAAGATGACTAAGGCAATAGGTTAGGTTGAATATCTTTTCATACGGTTAAGAATCATTTGCATTTCTTTTCCTATGAACTATCTATTCATTTCTTTCAGTTTTCCATAGGGTGGGCTTTTTTCTTCTCTATTTTAGGAATGAGTCAATGTTTTAAGTCTAAATTGTCCCCAATCCTCTCTAATAATGTAACTTCCCGGATCATGTTTTTCTTGAGAAGTGGTGCATTTCCACCAGAAATACTGACTCAGAATTGACATTTTAAGATCCCCAAGTGATTCTTATGTATAACTTCCTGGGTACTTGTTACAAATGCAAATTCTCAGCAGGAGTTCGAACTGGAACAAACTGGTTAGAAGCCCTGGTCAGCACATAAGTCATTTCCCTTCCCTGTTTCCTCAGTAGAAAATAAAAGGATTCCTACAGTCAATGTGTAAAATTTTCTGGTCTTATTTCTTTGTCAAAAATCTGAGGTATCTCTACCCAACTCCTTTTAAAATCAAACCAGAAAACCAAACCCACTGCCATCAAGTTGATTCAGACTCATAGTGACCCTATAACACAGAGCAGAACTGCCCCATAGGGCTTCCAAGGCTGTAAAACTTTACGGAAGCAGACTGCCACATCTTTCTCTGTTCACAGAGTGGCTGGTGGATTCGAACCAACCTTCTGGTTCGCAGCCCAGCGCTTTAACCACTGTGCCACAAGGGCTCCTTTTCTTTAAAATAGGGTTCCAAATAATCTTTCCAAGTTCATTCTCCAATTCTTCCCAAAATGTCTTGCACTCATTATCCCTCAAACCAATTAATAAAAACATACACACTTTTTTTTCCAGGAAAACAAACTGTTTCACAAAAGCAGCCTGAATGAACGGATAGGAAAATAAAGTTCCTAAAGTTTGGCCTGAGCTACTTCTCTTGAGTCTGTCGTTTTAGGGCATCATACTGTGAAAAGGGGGAAAAATGAAGCTTATGGTAGACTGCATAATGGCCTCCCAAGATGTTCACACCCTAACCCCGGAACCTGTGAATACATTATCTTATATGGCAAAAAGAGACTTTGCAGATGTGATTAAGCTATGAACGTGAGATAGGAAGAGTATCCTGGTTCATCCAGGTGGGCCCAATGATGCAATCACAAGGGTCCTTAAAAGAGATACAGAGGGAGAAACAACAACCATAGAAGGAAGACACGGACAATGGAAACAGAGAGATTTGAGATGTTACACTTCTGGCTTTTAAGATGGAGGAAAGGGCCATGAGCCAAGGAATACAAGGAATTCAGCTCTAGAAGCTAGAAATGGATTGACTCTTCCCTAGAGCCTCCAGAAGGACCCAGCCCTGACGACATCTTGGTTTTAGCCCAGTGAAACTGATTTTGGACTTCGGGTCTCCAGAACTTTAATTTGTGTTGTTTTAAGTCACTAAGTTTGTGGTAATTTGTTACAGCAGGAATAGAAAGCTAATACAAAGCTTTTGACAAGTTTTTATTGTGAAATATTAGATTTAGGAAAAAAAGTACAAAATGTCAACAGTTAGATGTGTACAAGTACAGTATTTCAATAGTTTATACATGTGAACAGCTTAACAGGTCCACTGCAGAATGCATATTTAGACCAATACAATCTAAAAAGGACTGCAATATTCACAGGCTACTGATTCATAAATAACTTGAGCCAAAATGACCCTCACTGGTAAATGCTAATTAATAGCTGAAAACAGGCTAAAAAGCACAATACAGCACACCATAGTATCTCCTTACATATCCACATTTAAAGATTATCAGCTTATTATGTCAATACACTACAGATCCAGGACTTGGACTCAATTACTAGTTTATACAATTTCAAAAAATTTAAGTTATAAAATAAGGTCATGGAATAAAGAGAGGGCATTTAATTAGGACTAAATACTGTGAAGCCCCTAAAAGGTTTTAGCCTTGGAATATACAAAGCCTAATTATTTAGACTGATTTTTAATTTGTAACTTAAAAAAGGGGGTGGGGGGAGACTTACTTTTGTAGCAGCTCCATTAAGGTATAAGTACTACTACACAGTTTATTTTAAAACCATAATAACCACTGTGAATTGACAAATGGCATGAAACCAGAATATAAAACATTATACATTTTAAAGAAAGGTAATGGAGTATCTTATGAATTTAGCAAGTCCTGCAAACATTAAAATTCATGTTAAGAAAGCATTATCTACCATGGTTTAGAACACTAAATTTAGGAAGATTATTACATAAAAACCTTATAAAAATAAACTGGTTTAATTTTTCTAAGTCTGATTGATTCAATCTTTTGATATCGCTTGAAAATTACTCTAGGTTAGATTATTTCCAAACTGGACAAAGAATCAAGTGGTATCATTTATGGTATAATTATAGGAATAACTCTTCTGTCAGTGGAGGTTTATATGTTGCTGTGATGCTGAACAGGTTTCAGCGGGGCTTCCAGACTAAGACAGACTAGGAAGAAAGGCCCGGCCATGCACTTATGAAAAATCAGCCAGTGAAAACCCTGTGGATCACAATGGTCTGATCCCCTTGTACATAAACGGTTACCATGAGTCAGGGGCCAACTCAACAGCAGCTAACAACATACAAATAACCCACTGAAGTGCAAGCCATGTTAAAAGAATTGATAAAAACTTCCTATGTGCTTAGGAAAGACAATCTTTGATATGATATTCATAATCAATGCTTGCTTACAACATCTTCAAAATCAACAAATTTAATAAGTGCCTGTAAGTTCCTAAGAGAAAAAAAATGTCATGCTATATGGATCCTTTAAAATTGAACTAAACATCTGAACTGGTATTTATTAAGTAGAAGATCAATTCCATTACAGGCTGAAAATCACTGGATCAGAATATAATTAGTAACTTCACATAAACTATCCCATCCTACCCTAGCCTTTTATAGATAACTTTGAAGATGCTGAGACAGTTTTCTTATAAATAGTGCCCAAATCTTACAGTAAATTCCAATTTATTCAAAGCAATCACAGATTGGATGAAAAAGTTATTTAATTTTTCCAGATTTGCTTAAAATTTACAAATTAAGTATGGTGTACATAAATATTAACTTAGATAACCACACACATATGGAAAGCAGAAATACAGATCACTGTAGAAACATTATAAAGAAATTTCATAAAAGTAAAATATTTAGCTCACATAATATGAACATGAAGCCATGACATAAAAAATAAAATTACTCTATCAGAAATGATTTAATATTAAATCTTTGGGGAACTATTTTGACATAATTCAATGACCAACAGCTTCCCTTATCACATAGAAATAAACCACAAAATCATCTAAAGTCTATATGCATTATCAGTTAGTTCTTAATGCAACTTCAAACATTTTACTAGCAACTTTGATTTTCTTTTGAAATAGGCTTCTGTACATATGCATTTATATACAAACATTTATTAAACATGATTTTAAAACAAACTGTATATACAAAAGATCAGCATTCCTATAAATAAAAACATTAGGTGGCAAAAAGGCACTTGTAAGTAAAAATCTACAGTAGTTTTTACAAAACAAAAACACATTTTACCTTGATACTGTACAATAAACATTAAGTCCTATGCCAATAATGAAAATACTAGGCTACTAACTAATGTTAACGATGTAATTTTTAAAAACATATTTACATATACTCTGAAGCTTAATAAAAGCACCATGATTCTTTCCTAAATTCATGTTGATGCAAAATAAAAACACAATTACCAAAAAGCCAGTGTTCACCACTTCCTTGTCTAAAAGTTTTTCTATTTCTAAACTGAAAACCGTTTATCTGAAATTAGCATAGTGTAAAAACAAAAAAACCCTGCTGTTTTGACTTTTTAAAACCATACCTACTCTATTATTGCATGTTGCATTTTTATAAAGAGCACTACTCATGCACTCCTTTACAACTGTTTAATACTATTGCTGGCAAAAAAAGTTTCTGGATACCAAATAATTAAAAAGTTACTTCAAACCAGTTGAAGTTTTATTTAAATGTTTTAACAACTTAAAAAATGCTGCATATCAGTTACAAAAGTGAATAGGAAACACGCCAATTCATTTGATGTGCAAAAATATTTTTCCACTACACAGAATTTAAGGGCTTCACAGAATTTTCTTTTCCAAATTTACATTTTAAGTAGAAACACTAAATGAATAACTACTTTCTCAAGGAGATGTTAGTATACTTCCACTTTTGTCAAACTTTTTACCCTTTGACAATGCTGCAACCTGCTTGAGTAGTTCTCTGTTTTTGGCCTGTGGGAGACAAAAACATTTGACATTAACAATAATATTTGAAATATTAAGAGTTATGCTGACTCTATTTAAATCTGTTCTCTTCATTTATATAGAAAAACTTCTGTGAAACAAATCAAAAAATTGGTATATTTAAGTTCATCTCTTAAATGCTGGATATGTAGAAGGAAAATTCTTGATTGGTTTAACAGCCCGTTTGTAAATGTCAATATTAATTCAACAAAAGATACAATTGCTTATGAAAAAGGCAACTTAAAGTGAATCCACTTAAAAGGGAGCTCAAATTTCGGAGTAAATTTAAAAAAAGACTGGCCCTTTATCTTAAAAACACAAATCAAAAAACTCTAAAATAAGATGTGTTTTATAATTAATAAGATCAAAGAATGAATCAAGTGTCAATTTGGGAGGATATTTCCCAATAAATTGCATGATGTCTCTCATTTGATGTTTACCTTTCTATTATACAATCATAAAACATCATTTTTACAAAAATATTCAAAGACTTATCACTTTGCCACAGGGACCCCCTTAATGACAGTGATATTATTCTTTTGAAGTACCGTTTCTATGGTCTTTCCTTTAACTGCCATACATTCGAAACTGACTTGTGTGATTTCCGCAGTTTCACATCGTTTTTCAGTTTATGACAGCCTGAAAACTTTTTTGGCAAAGATTCAAAATTTCAATTTGCCAATGATCTGAATTTGCATTTCATTATCAAATGTTCTGTCAATCATTGACAAAGACACCGTTATTGAGTCAATGAGCTATGACAGTCACTAGTTTAAGTAGGGACTTCAGTATTTTCATATTTTGACTGCCTTTGCCTTCCTATGCAGTCTCTTAACTGTGGGAACTCAAATAATGAAGATTCCCAGTGTACAAATACATTAATGATCAACTACTTTGAAGTTTCGGGCCAAAATGGAAGGAGCTTTGAAAACAGTTTGAAACCTGAATGCTGCCCTAAATATAACAAAATTTTAAAAGAAATCCTTTGGCTTATGGTTGAAAACCATTTTCGTCTACAAGTCTCAAATTTTTTTTCTTCTGATAGACTGTCTTAACCTCAGTACCTTCATCTTCTACTCTAAACGAGTCTTTGTATGGCCAGGTATTATGGATTGCAATGTGTCCCCCAAAAATATGTCAACCTGGCTGGGCAATGATTCCCAGTATTGTGTGATTGTCCACCATTTTGTCATTTGATGTGATTTTCCTATGTGTTGTAAATCCTATCTCTATGATGTTGATGAGATGGGATTAGCAGCAGTTATGTCAATGAGGCAGAAGTTAATCTGTAAGATTGGATTGTGTCTTGAGCCAATCTCTTCGGAGATATTAAAGAGAGAAGCAAGCAGAGACTCAGGGGGACCTCATACCAAGAAAGAAGCACCGCGAGCATAGCTCATCATTTGGACCCAGGGTCCCACTGCTGAGAAGCTCCTAGTCCACAGGAAGATTGATGACAAGGAACTTCCTCCAGAGCCAACAGAGAGAGAAAGCCTTCCCCTGGAGCTGGTGTCCTAAATTTGGATTTTTAGCCTACTAGACTGTGAGATAACAAATTTCCCTTTGTTAAAGCCATCCACTTGTGGTATTTCTGTTATAGCAGCACTAGATGACTAAGACAGAATTTGGTACCAGGAATGGGGTGCTGCTCTAACAGATACCTAAAATGTGGAAGTGGTTTTGAAACTGTGAATTGATATAGGACTCAGAAGGAAGTGAGGACAACTGTTAACACTGGAGAGGGGGCAGAGGGTAAGAAGCAGCAGCAGAAAACCGGCAGCAGCAGAAACAGGAGTCTAGCGTGAGACAGTGGTGGAGCCGACCCATGGAGCTAGAGAGCTGACTGCCTTTGTGTAGGAGGCTTCCTGGGAGAGCAGGGTGCCTCTGGGCACTTATCAGTGGAGACACAGAGCTTTGGAAACTTCCCTCAGCAGGGCAGACGTGGGCAGTGAGGCCCGAGGGGCTGAGAGGCCAAGGAACCAGGAAGCAGAAGCTGAAGAGGAAAGAACACAGGAAGCCGAGCTGCCTCAGTCTCAAAGGGTATGGCCATAACCTCTGGGATCTCAAAGGGTGGGGCGATGACCTCTGGAGTTTCTAAGGGTGGAGTTGCCACTCAGATGAACTAGGAGAATGGTGCGCCTAAAGCCGAGGAAGCAGAGTTGCTGTTCCAGTGGGCCTGGAACGCAGAGCTGAAGCCGAGGGCCGAGAGGCCTCCACTAAGAATCTGGAAAAGTGTGGCCAATACCTAGAGTCTAGAGGGCGAGGCCATTGTATAAATGGTCTCAGAGAACGGAGGACTGTTTTCAAGCTTTGAGGGCTAATATAATGTGTTCTGCTGACTCGCTTGGTGCCTGTTATGCCTTCTTTCCCTCCAATTTCTCTCATTTGTAATGGAAATGTCTAGCTTGTGCCTGTTCCACCATTGTACTTTAGAAGCAGATAACTTGTATTCTAGATTTCACAGATGAGGAAGAATTTCTGGATTTTGGACTTGGAATTGAATTAAAACTTTTGCTATGATATGACGGGGTGAATATATTTTACATGTAGCAAGAACATGAAGTTTTGCGGGCCAAAGAGCGGAATGTTATAGATTGAACTGCATCCCCCAAAAATATCTGTCAACTTGGCTGCGTGATGATTCCCAGTATTGTGTGACTGTCCATTATTTTGCCATCTGATGTGATTTTCCTATGTGTTATAAATCCTATCTCTATGATGTTGATGAGACGGGATAAGTGGCAGTTTTGTTAATGAGGAAGGACTCAATCCACAAGGATGGATTGTGTCTTGAGCCAATCTCTTTTGAGATATAAAAGAGAGGCGAGCAGAGAGATAAGGGAACCTCATTCCACCAAGAAAGAAGCAGCAGGAGCATAGCGCATCCTTTGGACCCTGGGTCCCTGTAGTGAGAAGCTTCTAGTCCAGGGGAATACTGATGACAAGGACCTTCCTCCTCTAGAGCCAGCAGAGAGAGGAAGCCTTCCCCGGGAGCTGGTGCCCTAAATTCGGACTTCTAGACTACTAGACTGTGAGAATAAATTTCCCTTTGTTAAAGCTATACACTTGTAGTATTTCTGTTATAGCAGCACTAGGTGGCTAAGATAGCAAGTAATACCCTGCCTTAAACGTCTTAAAGCACTTTCATGAAATATAAAGTTTAAGAAACTTTTTAAAGTTTATAAAGTTTAAGAAACTAAGAAATATCTTAAAGCAGTTGCATGAAATATAAATTTTTTCAGGCTTTATGCTTCAATCCCCCTTCTCCAATCTAACTTTCCCTAATTAACACCAGTGACCTCCAAAAATGCAAATATCTCAATGCTATCTTATGTGTGTAAACCAAATAGCTTTTTATGTTTGGCAGCATGATTACTAAGGTTTCCACATAATAAGGTTTCCCTATAAAATGGTTGGAGCCCTGGTGGCACAGTAGTTAAGAGCTATATGGCTGCTAACCAAAAGGTCGGCAGTTCAAATCCACCAGATGCTCCCTGGAAACCCTATGGGGCAGTTCTACTCTGTCTTATAGAGTCGCTATGAGTCGGAATTGACTCAACGGCAAGGAGTTTGGTTTTTTTTTTTTGTTGTTGTTAAACTAAACGGTCTGAGAAACTCATAGAGCAAATCAAGTGAGAATGCCTGGCAGTTAGTGAAAATCAAGTAAGCACGTTCATGATCATTGTTACTCAGCTGACCAGTCCTAGTCAGTGTGGTGGTCTTCTTTCTCTTTTTAATTTTAGCTGCCTATTATTTAATTTAATTTATAACTACAACAGACCCACAGGATACAGACAACAAATTTAAGAAACAGAAAAATTAAGAATACAATTTAATAAACGGCATTAAAAAAGCATACTTCTGCAAATTTGCCTGTAAGTGATCTCCACAGAGCTATGTTACATTTATATAAAAATGTTTATACTGACATACCAAATGGTTTAAAAGGGAATCTTCAAATTACCTTTTCTCAATTATCAAGAAATACACAAACAAAAAACCTCCCAAATTTATATATTTCATATTTTAAGTGTAAAATACAAGCACTCTAACATGAGGTATTAAAAGCAGTTTTTTTCTATTTTTGACACTACAGCAATCTCAATTTGCATCTGTATATTCAGTTCCCTAATCAAAAGCACTAATAAACTTACTTGTTGATAAATCACGTAAGAAAAAAGTATTTAAGAAAAATAAACAGTGCCTCAAATGTTAAATGGAGACAAATTCAAATCTGTCTTCTTCTAGTGAGAGTACTTTAGAAATGAATTTCATAAACACAGGACTTAAATATACACAGACGTAAATTTTCCTATCCTGAAATTACTTTACTATACACCTTGCAAAAGAAAATCAATGAAATGACTTTAAAACTCTTAAGCAATTTAAGTAAAAAGTTGTTTAGAAACACTGACACAAAGAACATCTCGATTAAGAATCACACAGACCCTGCTTTGAATTCTGGCTCTGGTGCTTATCTGTTATGTAACCCAGAGTATATCTTCTCACTAGTAAAACAGAAACTCAGCCAAACACCTCAAACTGAGTTGAAAGAACTAATTATACAGCATAACACAGTGGCTGGTAGCCACTCCTATGTTGGTTCCCTTTCCCTTTTATCCGTTTATCTACTAAACAAAAGGTAGAATTTTTGTTTGTTATTCTAGATAATTTGAAAGGTTGTTTTGTTTTATATATTTTAAACAATTTTTTCTTGTGATGCTCAGTGCTTATTTAATAAGTTTGGTAGTTAAATGTTTTAAGAGCTACTACAGCAAGGTCACTATGAGTCAGAATTGACTCAATGGCAATGTGTTTGGTTTTTAGCAAGGTAAATTCTGTTACAGGGTTCAATTCCTTATCACATACAGATAAGAAACATAGTTAACTACATTTACTTGACTTGGTAGAGAATCTTACTAGTAAACTGGGTTGTTAAAGGGGATGGGGTAAAAAGAGGGCACCTTAAATAACAGTGACAGAATGTCCAGCAATAACACAAAAGATACAGAAAACTAGTCTGATAACAAGGATAAAATAGATAAAAGCCAGCGACTTGAGGAAGGGGGAGCCAGTGTAGAACAGGGGAAAGTACAGTTAAACCTAAATCAGAAGATGTAGCTGTCACTGCTAAAAAAAAAAAAGAAAGAAAGAAAAGGAAAAAGAAAAAGAAAAAAGGCAACCCAAACCTACTGCCATCTAATTGATTCTGACTCATAGCAACCCTACAGGACAGAGTAGAACGGCCCCAGAGGTGTCCAAGGCTGTAATCTTTATGGAAGCAGATTGCCACATCTTTTTCGTGGTGCGGCTGGTGGGTTCAAACCAAAGACCTTTTGGTTAGCAGTCGAGTGCCTAACCACTGCACCACAGGGTTCTCTACTTACTAATTGTATAACCACAGTTTCATCTGTAAAATGGGGATATCACATAACTTACAGTTATTATAAGGAGCAAATAATACATGTAAATTTATGTTGAAAATGTCACACCTCTGTATTTAAGTGGCTAACAGACATGTGAGGAAATGCTTGAGATCACTAGCCATTAGAGAAATGCAAATCAAAACCACAATGAAATACCATCTCACCCCAGTATTACTGGCACAAATCAAAAAAACAGAAAATAACAAATGCGGGAGACTGGAACTCTTATGCACTGCTGGTGGGAATGAAAAATGGTATAACCATTTTGGAAAACAATATGGCATTTGCTTAAAAGCTAGAAATAGAAATACCGTATGATCCAGCAATCCCACTCCTAGAAATATATCCTAGAGAAATAAAAGCTGTCACGTGAATAGACATATGCACACCCATGTTCTCTGCAGCATTGTTCGCAATAGCAAAAAGATGGAAACAACCTAGATGCCCATCAATAGATGAATGGATAAACAAACTATGGTACATACACACAATGGAGTAACATGCAAAGATAAAAAACAATGATGAATCTGCCAAGCATCCTACAACATGTATGAATCTAGAGAGCATTATGCTGAGTGAAATAAGTCAATCACAAAAGGACAAATATTATATGAGACCACTACTATAAAAACTCATGAGAAGGTTTATACACAAAAAGAAACGATCTTTGACGGTTACGAGGGATGGGAGGGATGGGAATGGAAAAACACTAAATAGACAATAGGTAAGTGGTAACTTTGGTGAAGGGTAAGACGGTACACAATACTGGGGAAGCCAGCACAACTTGTACAAGGCAAGGTCATGGAAGCTCTTTAGATACATCCAAACTCCCTAAGGGGCCAAATTACTGGGCTGAGGGCTCTGGGGACCATGGTCTCAAGAAACATCTAGCTCAACTGGCATAACAGTTTATAAAGAAAATGTTCTACATTCTACTTTGGTGAGTAGCATCTGGGGTCTTAAAAGCCTGTGAGCAGCCATTTAAGATACTCCACTGGTCTCAACCTGTCGGGAGCAAGGGAGAATGAAGAAAACTAATGACACAAGGGAAAGATTAGTCCAAAGGACTAATGGACCACAACTACCACAGCCTCCACCAGACTGAGTCCAGTATAACTAGATGGTGCCCAACCACCACCACTGACTGCTCTGACAGGGACCACGATAGAGGATCCTGGACAGAGCTGGAGAAATATGTAGAACAAAACTCTAAATTACAAAAATAGACCAGACTTACTGGCCTGACAGAGACTGGAGAAACCCTGAGAGTATGGCTCCCGGACACCCTTTTAGTGCTGTAATGAAGTCACTCCCGAGGTTCACCCTTCAGCCAAAGATTAGACAGCCCTATAAAACAAAACAAGACTAAAGGGGCACACCAGCCCAGGGGCAAGGACAAGAAGGCAGGAGGGGACAGGAAAGCTGGTAAACAGGAACCCAAGGTCGAGAAGGGAGACTGTTGACATGTTGTGGGGTTGTTAACTAATGTCATAAAACGTTATGTGTACTAACTAATGAGTAGCTAGTTTGTTCTGTAAACTTTCATCTAAAGTACAATAAAAAAATAAAAATAAAAATATCACACTTCTACATAAATATTAGTCACTACTGTATTATGTGAAACTTCAACTACCAATCAAGAGGAGCTAGGCTTAAGATACCAATCAGGCTATGACGTCTGGGAGGCTCCACTCTTCTTAGAACTATGATCAAAACAAAACAACACAACCAACTTCTATTTTGAACAGTGGTTATTACCACATTTAAATTATATTTAAGTACTGCTCACAACTTTTCTTTATCTCAGTATGGATTTTCTCTAGAGTTTTTGTTATATCTCATTAAATCAGAGATCATCTTACGGAATATTTTTTTCCCAGGTAATCATTCAGCATTAGTAACTGAATGAGAAAAACAAGAGTATCATAAAACTAAATACAATACCTGTGGTGGATGAAAACCATCCTGTACCATCACGTACAAGAAGTCTAATATACAATATGCGCACTCTCTAAAGACAGAGGGGCAGATGGGCATTTCCACAAGTCATCACTCATTCAACAAATTTTTGAGTGCCTAACATGCACCAGGTTCTATGCAAAGTTCCTCTCAAAAATTCTTTGGAACAGTAAGATCAGGGTTAAGAGCAAGCAATCTATACTTCCAATTTCAGCAAATTTCTAAATCCACTTTTCAATCCTACTCAAGCTACTTGCAAAGAAGTAGAAAGAATATAAAACTAAAAGATAGTAATAGCAAGTATCCTCTGGAGTTATGTTAAAAAAAACCAGGACAGTATTAATTTCTTCCTTCCCAAGATGATCCCTCCCATCAGAGTCAGAAGCCTGTTTGCTGGCAGCTCCTATGCTTTTAAGACTTATCCTTAAAAACCCTGTTATTCAAAGAGTAATTCTACAAATGTCAACATGTATAGACAGGATGGATTACATAATTAATTTAGTGTAGTCTGATTTCTAAATTTATGAAACTTGGGTGAGAAAGGCCTCAGTAAGGGAATAATCTGTATCCATGTTGGATGCTCACCAGCTCTACATGTCAGATAGCAGGCACTATCCTCTTTGTCACTGTGGTGACTCTGGCTTCACAACTGATCACTGAGTTACTCTTTATGTTTAAATCTTGCTTAGTACATGTTGCAGTACTCTGAGGTTAAGGTGGATCACTAGAGGCTTCCTGTTGTGGCAAACAGCGGTACCCTATTTTGCACTTTGCAAATCACAGTACCAAGGTTAATGTGCACTCCTGCTTGAAGCGCTGCACGCAGCATACATTTCCTCCACTGGAGGTCCCTGAGAATTGGTAAGCTTCTGTATGCCCACCTCCTTTCCCAATATCTGGGAAGAAATAGGAAGAACGATTACCATATTTTATGCAAATAACACCACCTTCTATGTTTGTTTGCCAACCACACCCTCTCCAAGAGACATTTTTATAAGCACTATGCTAATTTTGTTTTTTTACAACAACACATAAATATCACTGACATACTGCCTTGAGGTCAGCTAACAAATGTAGAAGGTGCACATTATTTGCATAAGAAATACAGTACACAGATTACTAAAGACCTTGTTTTCATGAATTTAATTTTCAATTTCTTTACTTTTGGTCCTGTGATGAATTCAATTTGATCGATTACGTACTCCTATAATATCCTCCTCTGAAAACCCCAATTGAGGTTTAGGGTAAAGTTTCCAGGATTAATGTATTAAATCACCTTTCAAGTGATTCCAAATGATATCTTTTTATGGGATCAGGACTTAACAACTATTATAGAGCCAAATCAAAGCTGAAAACGCACAAATACTAATAAAAATCCCTATACAATAGGGATACCAATACCAGTCTAAGTCAGTGAATGTTTTTAATTAAGTTTAGGTCCCCTTGCCTAACACTCAGTTTATATAAATAATGTCATTTACCTGTAGTTGTTCCACAGTTTCTTTATGAGCTTTTTCCATACTGTTCATCTTTGTTCTCAAATTCGACTCTTGGTACTGAAAGTCTGCCTTTAGTTCAGTTAGCTGAGGGATTTAAAAAAAAAAAGAACTATATCCACAAAACACACTATTTTTAATATTCCTTTACAATAAATTCACCCTTCATTATAAATGTGGAAGATGCTAACAGCAGTTTTCTGAGTTCTACATCCTGTCTAGAATGTTTTGTAAAATGATGAATTCTACCTACTTTACAATAAACTAAAAAACCCAAACCCACTGCTGTCGAGTCAATTCCAACTCGTAGCGTTTCCAAGGTTGTAAATCTTTACAGAAGCAGACGGTCACAACTTTCTCCCACAGAGCAGCTGGTGGGTTTGAACCACTGACCTTTCTTTTTGGTTAGCAGATGAGCACTTAACCACTGCACCACCAGGGCTCCTTCCTACTTTACAGTAGTGTAATTTTAATTTAAGATAGTATCTGACCATTAGTAAAACTTTTGAGATGATGTCCCCGCCCCTTTTTTAAAAGGGGGTGTCACTAGTCAAACAGTTTGGTGACTGATATGCCAACAGGAAAGCTTTAGGGCTAGTACCTTGGAAAATGCTTCAATTAAAGTGTGCTTCATATTTGTAAATGTGTTTCACAAAGAAAACATTAAAACTGGTTTCAGGTTAAAATATCTTTCAATGATAAAAGAAAAAGTTTCACACTGGGCAAGTCTAAAGAGGAATGGTCTTATCAACCAAGAGCTGAAATCTATTTTATAATTTAAAAATAGAGAACAAAACACAGAAGTGCAACTAATGTGTAATGAGATGGGAAATGGGGTTACTTTAAAATTTGGGCGGAATTAGATAAATATAAAGAAAAAAAGCTGGTGGTTTCAGGAAGCAAAAAAGGCTACAGAAGAATTATAAATATAAATGACATATACAAAAGTACAAAATCTTGTGACCTCAAACTAAAAAAAAATTTGGTATATTTTCATTACCAGAACCATGCAGACAAAAGTTGCCGGTAATCTTAAATGATTTTCATTATGTAAGCTTTAAAGATTAGTATGTCTGTAACTGTAAAAACCTAACAGCTGGTAAGCTGAAAAAGGTACAACATAAAGAGAGAAAGTCATGGTGTCTTATATTGCTAACTTTCTGAATAAACGCCACTTTTTGTCACAGTAAAAGAATAATTGGATTCTCTCTCCCTCCCTTTTATATATTATGAAGGAATTCCTGTTTTGAAACATCAATTCACTATATCGTGAGTTGCCTCCAGACTGTGAGCTTTTAGAGGGTAAGGATCATGCCTTGTTCATTTATGTTCGTATCCTAATGATCTGGTACAGTGTCTGGCTCTAGAAGTCACTCAATAACTGTGGTTGAAACAAATTCAGAAAAATAACTTAGCTGTCTTAGATTTACTTTACAAGAAGCAGTCGTAAACGTGTAGCTATTTTAGGTTTACAATAATTATTTTCCTTCTAACACTGATAATTTCAATACTCATAAGTGTTTTTTAAAAAAGAACACTAACAAAAGTAGAAAACTTTTAACAAACTGCATTATAGAATAAGTATGCTAAGAAAAGGAAAATAAAAACCTAAAAAACAGTCAACAGTTCATTACTATTTGGTGTAGGAATCATTGCTGTTTTGCAGCAAACTTATCATTTTATTCAACTTTTATTTAGATTAACGTGGAAATATTCAGCTTTGTGCAAATATAGTATCTCTAAATTTGTGCATAGTGCAAATTTCCACAAAAGTGCATTATTTTAAAAAATCCTGCCGTTAATCAAAAAGAAGTATAAAATATAAGACACCTATACTATTCTACTTTTATCTTATAGGTAAATCCCAATTTTCATATGCTGAATTTGCTTAAAGTAGGGTACAAATGTATTAAAATAAAGTTACATCAACTAATCATCAACATGTGGGAAAATACAACATGAAAGATGTTGAATGTCAGGGGTAAAAGCCAGCTCAAGCTCAAGCACTGCTATAGATACTCAGAGATGGATAATTCATGTATGTATGTATAATCATGTCCTGTTTATAATTCTTAAAAAATGTTTTTAATATCTTCCTGTTGCAGAAGATGCTTAATGTAAGTCCAACTAGATACAGTCTGAAGATCATAAAACAAGTATACAAGTAGACTCTACACTCAAAAATGACCAAATATCAGTAATAGCACTTATGAACACTTAAACATAGGAGTTGTACTAAGTACTACGCATTTTCATTTAATCACTACCATCCCATGAGACGATACCAATACTCATATTTTTAAAATAAGAAAACTGAGATTGTACAAAGAAGTGAAAGCATTTTGCTCAAAGTCATACAGTTAGAAAGTACTAGAATTGGGATGTGAACTTAAAACCAAAAAACCAAACCTGTTGCTGTCAAGACAATTCGACTCTAGTGACCCTGTAGGATAGAGTAGAACTGCCCCGTAGGGTTTCCAAGGTTGTAATCTTTATGGAAGCAGACTGCCACATCTCTCTCCCATGAAGTGGCTGGTGGGTTCGAACTGCTGACCTTTTGGTTAGCAGACAAGCACTTAACCACTGTGCCACCAGGACTCTGGGATGTGAACTTTGGTACGGCTAAATGACCGTAATGCTGTTTCTTGCCCCCTACCTGCCCACCATTATCCTATCCTAATTTCACACCGTAAGATAACCTTCAAGTGTCTAAAATTGTTAACACTCTTCTTTTCAATAAATGGGCAATGTATTTAATATCCCTCTTGATCTAACTGATCACAGGGAAGTCCCAATAAGTACACTTCCTTAGTACAAAATGATCTTAGACACCTACTGCTAATCAAACCACAGAGGAAATTCCCATACTTGTCACCAGTTCTTTTATCTTTATTGAAACAGATACAGGATCAGTATGTCAAAGGGTCTATATTCAATTATTTTAAATCACAAGAGTTCACACAGTATTCCATTTACATCTCGGTTTCAAATTAAGACGTTAGATTTCTTTTAAAATTACATGCTTAATAAAACCAGTTGATGTTCAGAAATCATTACAATTCTAATTAGCTTAGTTTAGTCAATTCTTAGAACTGAAATTCCAAAAGAGCATTTCTATCGATCTTCATTAGATGACTTAGATTCCAAATGGGCTTTTGTAATGTATAAGAATCATGTGCAACAAAGATTATCAAATTATTAAAGGAAGTCTAAGGAGCCCTAGTGGCGCAGTGGTTAAGCGTTCAGTTGCTAACTGAAAGGTCAGTGGTTTGAACCTACCAGCTGCTCTGACAGAGAAAGATATGGCAGTCTGCTTCAGAGCAGTTCTACTCCGTCCTACAGCATCGCTTTGAGTCAGAATTGACTTGACAGCAACAGGTTTTTTAGTAAGATTTGCAATTATCAAGCAACAGCCAAGATGTAAATCTTACCAGGCTTCAGTGAACCATGTTCTTACCTTTTTATCTTTCTCTAAAATGGTCTGGTCTCTTTGCTGTAAGAGACGCTTAAGCGACATCACTTCTTCTTTCAGTTGACTTATAAGGACAAAATTGTCTGTTCCCCCACTATCTGCTGACTGATTTATAGAGCTACTAAAAAGAAAAAAGTAAAACACAGTTAAACAAAACAGAAGGAAAATTAACAGGTGTTCAAATTGCATAAATTAGACAATTCCACAAACATCCTTAAGGCTAATGCAAAAAAATATGTACCTGACAGAAATGGATGCAACTGGCAAATTACCTTACTAATGGCACACATTACATACACCTGCAGAAATATAATTCAGTATTAGCTTTTAGGGGGTCAATACTTCTAGTGTAAAGCAATAGGCAGCCAATTTGTACAGTAACATCAGCAAACTTTTGGCTAATGAACTAAAACAAAGTCACGCTAATATTTTAAATCTAAAAACAGGTCAATTTAAAATACCACATCTATTTGTGTTTCTTTGATGGATAATTAAGATAAAGAGAATGTTCTCAATTCAGATGTTTTCTTTTTTCAAAACCCAAATTTATCTCCCAAACAGAACAACATAGTTCAGTGCCACTTTCTTATTGCCAAAATTAAGTTTAAAAAAAAATTTTAAACTGATTATGTTTATTCTCCTAGATGATGCAAAGAATTCAATGTAGAAGATATATGTTTGTTCTTTCATCTAGTAATAACTGGCAATCAACCACAGTTGTTCAACTAAGTTGAATTTTCATAACACTGAAGGAATTAATTTTTACCTATCTCCATTAGATGGCTTAGATTCCAATTTGGGCTTTTTCTTTGGAGTTTCATTCTGAATTGCTGCAGAGGATTTATGGCTGAAATGAAACATTAATAAGAATAATCAGTGTAAAAAGGGCAGATGCATTAAATGATCAGTTACTCTTCTCCCAAAATATTACTGAACACTACTGATTCTTTTTTAAAGCCTAAGTAACAAAGTTCAAGGGATGTCATATTTAAAAATATACATTTCAAAATACTTAAGAAAATATGTTAATGTATTTACCTTTGTTTCCACAGTCCCTGCTCTTGTTCTGGACTCAAATTGCTGATTCTGAAAGATATATAAACGGCATCTAATAACAATATTTAATACAGCTACATTTAACAACATCCTTTCCAAATGGAATCAAATTACATATATTTGTAAGATTTTGTTCAGAGAAAGGCATATTCAATTAAGTTTTCAGACTAAGCTTATACATTGAGTGATTCACATTCTAAAGAGAGAAATTCTAAAGAAATGACTACTAACCACCTTAAGTTCTTTAAGAAAGGCAAGAGACTGAATTTTCTTTGTAATCAGACCCTCCATAATTCAATTTAATACCATACTAAGGGTTGGGGTACATAAGCATGAGAACCATTAAAACATTCGGGAATCATTGTGCTTAGTTTGCCCTTACTATTTCAGACAGAAGATGCTGTATCTCAGTTTAAGGTTAGGCTTTCCTAATAATCCTAAGTGGAAATTCTTCCTTTAGAATAATTTAAGTTACTCAGAATTAGTATGTCAGGTTGAATCAGGAAAGATGTTAATTTCTTTGTTTCTGTCCTACTTTTCCTAAGAACCCTCTCCAAAGTCTCTAGATCTTCCTTTAGTCAGTATATCTATTCCTCACTTACTGATTATCTCGTTATCCGACATTCCGCATTTATGACAATAAAAAAAAAATCTACTATCTATTTTACACATTAATGAGGTGGCGGGCATGGTGGCAATGGCTGCGGAATGTCCCCTCCCTCCAAGAGGGTCTCCAGGTGGCCTCCAGGAAGCTGGGCTGAGCTGCCCTGTGCCCTACACTCCCTCCTGATGGCCTCTGAGTGGATGAGAAGCCCACACTAAGCCAGGTGGTACCTGTTTTGGGTTCCCAGCTCCTATGTGGCCTGAGACCCTGCAGCTCAAAATTGCTATGGGGTGGGAAGGGAGAAAAGAAAGAGGCCCTTGAGAGGGTGTTTGGTAGAAATGCATACAAGTTTAATGACATGCCAGTGAGCTGAATTGGGCCTTAAGTCTCTGCTTCGGGTGGGGTCGTGTGGGTAGTCAAGGCTCCCAGCGTCCTTGCACGAAGCCCCCAAGCCTCAGTGACTTGCCTGGCCTAGAAGGTAAAGTAAGCTCCGGGATCTTGAACTCAGAGTTTGCAGGGGTGGGAGTGGAGCCCTGGAGGTGGCTCTGCAAGGGAAGCTCTGACCCAGCACAGAAGGAATGTGAAATGGTTAAGCTGTGGGCCCTCCAGTCACACAGCCCGGCTTTCTCCAGCTTTGTCTCCTCCGAGCCTCCTTCTCTGCAGAGGGATAATCTATAACTGGACTCATCACAGTATGAGCAAATCTGTAAATCTTAGCTGTTATTATTTCTATGATCATATTTTCTCAAAAAAAAAAAAAAAATCAGATAAACGGATGATCTGAAAATCTTTCATTTTCGCATTAACACCAATTTTCGCATAACGACCTGATCTTTGGAACCTAACCACGTCGCTAAGTGAGGACTGGGTGTACTTTGGAGAAGTTATGCTGAAAATACTGGGTAGTTCCACAATAATTATACTTGTAATTAATGCTCCAATACTTCTTTTCCAATATGCCATATGACTAACAGCCACCCTGTAATTCACTATGAATGCAACATTTTTTTCAGCTATACTTGCACATTAAGCAATCCTTCATTAACCCCTAGTTTATTCACTCAACAGCATGTACAGAGCACGCACCTCTTAGGTGCCAGACACTAACCACTTACTTACATAATTTAGAATTTCCTCAAAGTGTATGATACTGTATATCTTAGCTGAGCTACTATCAAAGTTGAAGGCATACAGTATTTGGTTAGAAGACACTGGAAGACATGAGCTATTTGATTTGACCTTATGCAAGTTACTTAAAATCCTTGAGCCTCAGTTCCCTCATCAGTACAATGGGTATGACATGTATGGTCTAAAGACGCGAGGATTAAATGAGTTATGTATGTAAAAGGACGTAACATCAACTAACATAAAAAGATATATACGTGTCAATATATACGCATACACGTTTACATTTGTGTATATAAAATTTACTACTGTTTTAGCTATATAAGTTTTTTAAGCAAAAGCAAAAAAGCTGACCATGTTCTCAAGAATCAGCTGTAAATAAATACTAAGTTGGGGGAATAGTAATTGTAATTATATAAACGCAAGTTACTCTTTTCCTGCAGCAATGAATGGTGACCCTACTGAGGAATTCAGTTGGAGTTGCCTTTTTGTTTTATTCACAAATTTCATTATAAATACTACTGACCTATAAACTCACAAATGGATTAACAGCAGTATCCAGATCTCAAAGTGAGAATAATTACATTAATAACAAGTTAACAGAAACACTTGGAATTCTAATCTTAGCTTCCTGAGGGTTGGCTATTATTGGATCAAATTTGATCTTAGGTTTTTTTGTTTTGTTTACCCCAAACACCATATATTAGAATATGTATGTTCTTCATAATGATTTTAATCTACTGAACTAAACATAAAACTATACACACTGGTTGCCTATTCATCAAATATTTTATTATCCAGTTTGTTTCTCTTGAGTAACCAAAAGGAAAATAAAAATTGAAAGTCAAAATCGTCCTCTTTTCCCTTACTGCTGAAGTCATTCTTTTAAAAGATTGTCACTGTCACAGAATTTGATCTTTAGAAACATACTCTGCGTTCTTTCACATCATGCTAAGACAATTTATCCGTATGGACAGGGGAAAGGGACATTTTGGCAAAATCTTAGGAGTAGGTCTGACAGATGCCACTACGGTATAGAGTTACTTTGTCTTATTTTCTTAAAAAAAGAAGCAAAAATAAGGGAGATTTATATTCCTTTGTTCCTTGCAATACTTTGATATGAAAGACCACAAAGTTTCTTTAAAAATAGTATGATCAGAAGTCATTACATTGTTGTTAGCTGCCATCAAGTCAATTCCAACTCATGGTGATCCCATGTGTACAGCAGAACGCTCCACAGGGTTTTCAAGGCTGTGACCTTTTTGGAAGCAGACTGCCAGGCCTGTCTTCCAAGGCACCTTGGGTGGCGTTGAACTGCCAACCTTTCAGCTAGTAGTTGAGTACTTAACCATCTGCTCCACCCAAGTACTCTTGGAAGTTAGTATACAAGGTGGTTTAATGGTTAAGTGCTCGGCTGCTAACCAAGAGATCGGTGGGTCAAACCTACCCAGCAGCTCTGCAGGAGTTAGATGTGGCAATCTGCTCTCAAAAAGATTACAGCCTAGAAAATCCAATGGGGCAGTTTTACTCTGCCACCTATGAGGCTGCTACGAGTCGGAACTGACTCAACGGCACACAACAACAACAGAAAGCACGACAACATGGTGAGTCAAGTGGCAAACTACTACTAAAGAAAATAATATCAGTGTCTCACGAAACCCCATGATCTACTCTGTGCCTGCCTATATCTGAGAATAAAATCCTGTTAATAAAACAGAACTACGTAATATCCCAAAAATACCATTATATGTTTCTAAAGCACTAGGCAGATCAGGTTTCTATAAACACAATTATGATTTTAAACAACTATCTGGAACTTTAAAGAATCAAAGAAGTTCAGGAAAAAGCAACAAATTCTTCTGAAAATGGGTCTCATGTCCCTACTTTTCCCATTTTAACTCTCTTTGTATTTTATGTTCTTGATTTTTCCATGAATACTAAAATGACACTGAAAAAACCCTTTACACAATAAACATAAAGAATTAAGATATTGCTACTATATAACTCCCCCCACCCCAAAGCTACTTTAAGAATCAAGTAACTCTCTATATTTGAATAGAGTTCCTGTCTATGTGTCTTTAAAGCCAGAAAAGTACAACTAGTTAGTATTATTTCTCACACTTTGGGTTAGTCTAAGATTTCAAATGTTTCTACCATGACCACAAAAGATAGTGCTACAATCTATTTCCTGCTCACTGGTTTAAATTTGTTTTTAGTAAAACAAATTAATGATAACTGATGTAAACATAATTTTTACAAACAAAATCCTAACAATTCTTCAAACAAAGAAATAATACTGGGGCTTTTGTTTATGTAAATCAATGAAGCATTAATTAACCCTGATGTATTTGTCTTGGCTTCACAATATAATCATAATTTTATATAGTAGTTTCCTCGATCTTTATTATTATGGTAAACAGCTAAACCCACTACACGTGTGTAATTTTATAAATTGAGTAAAGTGGGGAAACAGCCTTAGACACTCAAGAAGTTTATCATGTATAATGGAAACTAAACTAGCACAGTCAATATTTATAAAAAGCTACACACCAACATGTCATTAAAATGTTAGGGAAAACTTCAGAAAACATGATTTCAAAGTACATACTTGTGATGGCTACTGCTGTGACGATGGTGATGGTGATGATGGTGGTGGTGATGTTTTGAATGATGCTGGTCTTTCTCAGTAAGAGATGAAGTCGATGAATTTGAATGGGAAGATCCTAGGCTCTTCCTTTGTTCCTTTGTCTTCTGTAAAACTCTCTTGTAGGATAAAGTACAGAGCCAGCACAGTAACTTTCCATCAACCTTTTAAGAAAATATTTGTATTAGATTAAATGTACCCATAAATTTGTTGTTAAGTGAAATCAGGTAAAATAAAGTGCTCAACTTCCAGCTATAACTCATACACACAAACATGTACACTTTGCAAAATGGAAGTAAAATGAAGACTTCTGAAACTTGGGAAAGTGCTTTTCTAGAGGATAAAATTGATGGGAATGATATACAGACTTCCCATTAGTTTGGAGGCATTTAGACTTCTCTCCAAAATTAAGACCAAGATAACTTTAATTATCTGTTTTCTGTTTGTTCACATGAGTGCTGAAGTACGCCTTACAACTAGGTAGGATGCATACATTGCTTTGGGAGATCCTGAAACTGAGACACAACAAGAGGCTTGCATGACTGCCGGCCAGCAGAGGCATGCCACACGCCTGCACACATACACTTATTCAGTCACTGTAGGTAGAGAAAAACAAACAATGGTTTCAAATATGAGCCTCAGGTCAAAGGCACAAGTGTAACTTTAAATTACAAGTAATAATGTGCCATCAAGTAGTTTTTCACACCAGCAACTTCAAGTGATCATCAATAAGGGTGAGTAAGAAAAATTTATTTAACAGAAGTTAGTAATTCTCCTGAACCAAATGGGGATAACCAAATAGTACAGAATTTTAAAGCATAGTCATTCCAATTGATCAAAATAAACCCACATATGATGCAAATAAAAAGAAAATTCAGTACTCCTGCACTTCAATCTAACCCTGGTTTTCAAAGACCCAAAGGACAGATCATGTCTCAGGGGTGTTTTAATTATAATAATCCTCAACTTGTTTGGTACTGTATTTAATTTCCAGAAGATATAATACTATAAGTAAGATATACCTTTCTTCTTCCTTCTTCCTTCCGATCAAAAGCACACTGCTGTTTGCACTGTTCACAAGTCTGAGGTGGTCCATATTTTTTTTCTGAATTTGTGCAACGCTGACACTTTGTGCCAATAAATGCTGCAATTATGTTACAGTACTGACAAGGTTTGGGCTGAAAAACAGACATACATTTTCTTTGAGACACTTAGAAAGACTAGAAATTTGTTGTATAAAACATGCCCAGTGTTACAGACATATTTCCGAAATTAATTACACTATTGAATCAAAATTTTATTTGTCAAGTCTGTTGTTCTGTCATATTCAATGACATTTTTCATGTCTCTATTCATTCGACTAATACTTATTTCCAGAATCATGCAATACAGTGCTACTCTCTTGGAAACTTTAAATAAGATGATGAGAAATATATTTATGATTTACATAGTTATGAAATATAAAAGTTATACACAAAAAAGGGTACAAAGAATGAAAATAAAGGTATGTATGTACAGAAAAGTTTCATGTATCCAGAATTTGGGGCAATGAATTTCTACTAATTTAATATCCTGCTTAGCTTAATATACTATTAATTGAAAAGAAACATTTAACTTTTTACCATATACAGGTAAAGATAATGCAAGGAATATATACTAAAGGTGAATTTTCAATTTTCAAAAACTGGACACAAACATATCCAACAGTTTGATTTTCTTTGAAATCCAAAAGACAATTCAGGGTTTTATAGAGCCCTAAAGCCAGAACTCTAACCAATAATAAACGTAATGTATTTGTAGGCACAAGAGAGAATTTGGATGAGGATAGTGTCTTGAGTTTTTTGAATGAACACTTGAATTGTGCTGCTCTCTACAAACACTCTGAAGTTCTGAAGAGGTGCAAAAGTCTGATTATGCGAACTTTATGTATAATTAAGGTTCTTCATAACCATGAGTTTTCTGTATTTGACTCTTTAAAAGATGAATAGGTTCACAAATTTTACAATGAAATTCAATATACATAAATCATGCAATTTTACTGCTTTAAATTCTATAACCTCCCCATCAGACTGTCCATAGAAAATTTATTTGATGAAATATTTTGACGTTAAATATTTAAAAGCATAAAACCGTTGCCATCGAGTTGATTCCAACTCATAGCGACCTAGCAACATGTATTTTAAAAATGTGGATCTTTGTGAAAAACACTGACTAGTAACAATAACATGAAATGAAAACATGAGACATACTTACTGTGCCAAACTGCTTCACATTTTGAGCACACTTCTTACAAATTGTGTTCGTTTTGCTGAAAAGAAAAAGGTATACAAATGATAAAATTCATGTAGCTTTCTGAAGTAATTTAGCACGATGAACTAAACCAAATGGATGAGTCAAAAGTTTGCAGTACTTATAATTATTTTCTCTAATACAGACCAAGAAATTTTTTTTAACTACAAAGGATCTTTTTAGGGTTGTATTACCCAAATTTACTTCCTTTCAAACTGCCAATTTAAGATAAATATTTTTAACGTGTATCTCTCGTTTAAAAAAAAAAGCAAAAACCTCAGTGTTTCCTATCTGTTTCCAAAATCTTCACACAGCATAGCTTTATGCATCAGTACCTACTTAACTTTCCACTGGACCATTCTCCACTATTACGATGTCCATAGCTATTTGTGGCGTTATTTTTCTTCTTTTAGGCTACTTTCTTGTGTGCGCTCTTAAAGTGGAATTAGCCTGTTAAAAAGTATGTGCTGTTCTTCCACTGGTAACAAGTTACTAGATTTCACTCCTGGAAGGTAGTTGGTAACACTATAAACCTTTCCTCAGATCCATGTCAGCAGTAATGTTTTACCAAAAAAAAATATTTTTTATAGTTAATAGCAGTTGTTTAAATTTGCATTTTTGTTAGCAAGGCTGTATCTTTTCTATGCAATAATTTATTCTTTCTTAACCACAAACTGAAGTCTAATTGTAAAGTAATAACCATTGTTTCTTGTCAACATTCTCTCTCCCACTTTGTAAAAGGTTTACAACTTTAATTCAGGAAGTTAAACCTTTTTTTAAAAAAATACTTTATAACAACTATAAGATTACCATCTCCAAGTGTTCCTTAATGACAATGCTTTGTCTTTAACAATCAAAACTTGTTCAAATATACAAACCTCTCTTGTTGAAATTCTGATCTGCAGTAAGTACATTTTACAATAGGATGAGCAATCCGACATTCCTGTAACGAAACAATACATTAGTATCTATCTTCTTACAGTCCCAAACCTCACTTTTATGGTGGAAAATTATCATGTAGCCTAGTGCCTAGTCAGGTGTGTAAAACAACAATAAAATCTGTTTCTTAGCGTAGACAATCGACTGATTTACCACATAAGTATTCAATTACAATATAATTCCTTATGAAAGGCACAGGTGTCTTTATTAGTCGTGGGGGTATATTACAAACAAATTAAGAAACCTGTCAGGGCCGATTTCAGGGATTGGTTAAATGTGAAACTACTTATTTTGCACCGTTGCTCACAGACAGCATCCCGGCTTTTATGGGATGTAAGGTGCTCCAAATCATAGAGCATTCTGTTCCCAAGCCAGTCGCTTCGCTTTCCTGGGCAGGGAAGAAGGATGCGGCTTCGGGTTCCTAGCAAGAAAGTGCAAAAACCGTCCCTTGCCTCCTGGTGGAAGGAGAGGACAGACCAGGTAGAAAATCGAGATGAAAACATCTCCACCCCAGGGTCTCTGCGGCATAGACAGGTGGCTGCTTCACTCAGCCCCATCCAAGACCCCCAAACGCTGCTAGGGTCGGCCCCGTCCTGGGCCGCTTAGAAGAAGGCAAGATTCTGTATCCTTCTTACGGACCTTTCGCAGCTGATGCCCAAGCCGTTGTATAAAGGGGTCCCCAGATGGGGAAGCAAGGGCTCCAGACCCCAAAATCCCCGAGGCGCCGGAGGAGTGGGGCTGCAGGGCAGCGGGCACCCAGCCCCCGCGGGCTACGGCCGAGAAATCCCCTCCCACAAGCCGCCCAGCGCCTACGGACCTTGCAGAGCTGCTGCCCCTGGGAGAGCTCCTCGAAGGGATAGCGCTGGGTACACTTGGTGCAGGCATACAGGGCCGAGGCCGCCATCCTGCTCCTCAGTCTCCTCCTCCGCCGCCGCCGCCCGCTGCGAGGCGGAGCCCTACAGGGGACTCAGGCGCCGCCGCCACCGCCCGGGCCGCAGGCCCCTCCTCCTCCCCCTCCCCCTGCCTCGCGCCCACCAGTGCCTTGCCGCGAGAGCTCAAGGCTCCGCGGAGGACCCTGTCGTCTCCCTCCGCCTCCACTTCCGCCCCAGCCCACCCAGCGACGCCGTCCCAGCCGCTCCCGCTTGGGCCCCGATAGCGGCGGAGGGAGACGAAACGGCTAGTTCGATGTGATTTAGCTGCGCGGCGGCGGATCCGCTTCCTTCTCGGCCTCCCTTACCCGCCCCCGATTGGCCGCAGAGGCGATTGCGTCACTCGGTCGCTCCTTCCAACCCCTAACCCCGGCTACGCGGGGAGCGCCCACAAAGGGAGGAAGTCGCTGGCCAATAACAGGCTGACGCTCTCGGCGCGCGAAATCCGCTTTGAACACGCTCCTCCCAAAGATCCGAGTCGTAGCTGTTTCTAGCAACCAGTCCCAGGTTTGGGTGAGAGCTCCATAATCTAATTGGGCCAAGGTTCGCGAAAGGTTTCCTCTGTGTCGACTCTCTTTCTTTTGATTTCTATTGGACCAAATCATTAAGCCCCTCCTAGTCCGATTTGTTATTCGCCAAAAGGTAAGCACTTCACCTGGAGAGGCGTCCCCACGTCAAGCTGACGCTCTCTGGTGTTTAACCCAAAGGAACTGAGTTTTGAACTTCAGATTCGTTTTTATTTTATTTCAGTCGTTCAGTTTAATCGACACTGGAGACAACAAACTCCTCACCCACATTTTCTCCTCAAGTCCCGCCCCTTTGTAAAACCTCAGAGCTGTCTAGTCGCCCGCAATGTCATAGGCCCCCGGCAGTCTTAGTTACGCGCTACCTTGTGACGTCACCAGGGGAAGAGGTGGATTCTCGTCTACGGAAGGCGTCAGCTTTCTTGATTGGCTATTCAAGACATCCGTCAGGACGTGTTGTCGTTTCGGCGTGCGTTCTGAGCGTCTGTCTCCCTGTGGGGTGTGTGTGATAGGGTTTCTATACCCGGCACCAGTACTCCTGCCCCTTCCATCAGGGGTTCGGTTTGAGGTCGCCCCTGGTGGGCGACTCTCGAATCTTTAGTGAAAGCACAAGAACCCCGACCGCCCCCGGAGCTGCGGAGGCCTGCAGGGCAGGCTGAAAGATGGCGGCGGCAGCGGCGTCGGTCCCTGCAACTTCTGGTTCTCAGTTGTCGGTAAGAAGCGGTTTGCATTCGAATGGGCTCCAGGTCGATCCTGGCTCCTCTTCGCTTTTCCTCACGCTTCAGGGCGCTCACTTCCCAGCTTCTCACGCCATCCTAGGGGACGGCGGGGGGCGCCTAGATCGCTCGGTGCTACCCCAGCTTCCTCTGCTCCACTGTCAGGGCTTGCACCCTTTGGTTTGGCTTTCAGTGAAAGAAGTCTGGCCCGTCTCTAACGCTTTCCCCATTCACCCTTCGGCCTAGCCGCCGAGGTTACCGAATATTGCCAGGACTCGGCTGGGATGATTGTACCCACTCCCTGGCCTGCGAAAAGCGTATAGCTCCTTTGGTCACGTGGGTGTAACGGCCGCGTCTTGGAAACTTGCCGAGACCAGGTAGGCTTGCCAGTCTGATTAATAGATAGCTCTTAACGAGTAGTCCGTAGTTTCTTAAGTGCATTCTAGTTGTTGGTATGCTGTTTCCATTGCTTCCGTTGCTGACGCCCTTCCATCCTCCTGGTAACTTGGTTCTGTGATCATGGTAGTCAGAAGCGCGCGCTCCCCAACTCCCGGCGGATTTCTCCGCTGCAACGTGTAACTGCGGTTTGTCACGTGCTTTTTGTTGTAGATATTTTAATACACTTTTTAAAAATCTTGTTCGGAGATGGAGAGACTGGCGGCAGGGGAAGCTGACCCTAAACATTGTTTTTGTCTCCACTGGGGCCAACAGTTCAATCACTAATATTAGTCGAATTGGAGTGAGGAACGCTTAGTGTCTTGGGGACTGCCACATTGGGAAGAGAAAGGAAGTAAATGTTACAAGGCTTTGGGTTAGAGCCGTTATCTCTTCTTCAGTAAATGCTGAGTGCCTGGCATACTATTAGGCTTTAAGACTATACAGGTAAGTAGGATAGAGTCCCTACTCTGAAGGAGCAAAGCACTGAAGAGAAACTGCACGTAATTGGATGATTGTTACACAGTACGGTTTTAAGTGCTACCATATCCATATTAGAATCATCTAGGCAGGAGTGATTAGCAGTGCGTGGTTAGGTGAGAGAAGAAGATGGACCTGCCTGAAGGAACTGTAAGTGCTTGCCACAAGAATAGGAGAGGAAGGAGAAAAAGTCATCTCAAGCATATGACAAAATTTAATAGTGCTTTCAGTAAACTTGAAATCATTTGGAAAGAGGAGAGATAGTGTGGAGGTAGAGTTGGGCGAGATGAATTGGAAAAATAGATAAAAGTATGATTTTTGGAAGACCTTGTATGGAATCTGGGGCAGAAAAGGGATACAGAGGCGAGAAGACTGAAGAAAATATCAGAGTAAAGTAATAATGTCACAGAAGCTGAGGAAGAAAGAGTTGAAGCATACTAAGAGCAGAGTCACCTTGAGGAAGTCACAGGTTTCCTTAGTTTCAGCTTTTTTTGGTGATTCAGAGTTGCGAGGAGGCGGGAAGTAACCTTCAGGATTTCAGCAGAATGGGGATAACAAGTTTGCAGGGTGGTCAGGGGAGATTAGAAGAAAGAATGAATGAAACAATTGGAGTTCATTCAGGAATTATATCAATAAAAGAAAAAATAAAAGTAAAAAACTATTAGACTGTTAGAGGTGTCAGTAGATGGATGAGATTTTATGTATAAGAGTTGAGATTAATTTAAACTTAATTAGCTGAAAAGGACTTTTGCTGCTTTTAAAACTTAGTAGTTGGGGGCCGAAGGAGTATTCTTAGAAATTTTGATTTGAGCTGCTCTCTGCCAAGAGCACCCATGGGTGGTGGTATTGGAATGTGGTCAACCCTTAGTCCTTATGTAGCCATGATAAGTACCCCAAAGAGTTTAATATGAAAGCATATATATATTTTTTGTGCAAACTCAGCTTTAAGTGGATTCTAACTATTAAGAGTCAACTAGGATCCTTTACAAACTAAATTATAATAATCTCTGCTAACTTAACCTGCTACGTCAAAATGTCTGATTTGGCAGCCACTATGTCACAACACAAAAGTGACCAAATGTAGTCTATTTCTCAGTGTCCCCTCAGAAGTAAGGTGCATCTCTGCATCTCCAACATGGCCTACAGAATTTTTTTTTTTTTTTAAAGCACTTTCGCTTAATATAGACACAGCATAAAATACTACAACATGAATTCAGAAGGCCTCTCATACTCAGATTTCATAGTTGTGAGCATTGAGCAGCATGGTACTAGCTATAGTAAATGGAGATGCTTTTACCAGGCAAGGACCTTTAACAGGTGGATTTCACAAACAAGGCAATGTTTAGGAAGCAGCTACCCTGTAAACCTCAAATGTGATCAACACTGAAGTAAGTATAGGCTTGAATTGGTCTTTTTAAGTATTTGTTGAAGGCAAGGGCAGCAGTAAGAGTAGCAGCAACATAGTATTTATTGAGTGATTACTATGTATCACTCACTAGTGGAGAAGGCAGGTAAACAACTATGATTGCAGATAAATTAATGCTAAAGTACAGGCAGCAGGGTGTTGAAACACAATATCTGTTCTTTTTTTATTTTCTCAACTACCACGGTTAACACCCGTATGTCACTTTATATTTGAATTAGTAAGCTAGCCTTGTATTTGGTTTCCCTGGCTTTACCCGAATCCTTTAACCAACCTACACAGTAACTTCATATTAATTTTCCTTAAACTGCTAAAAATGAATATATTACAGATTTTTAAATATTAAATATATATGATTTATTTTAGAAATTAATAGAATGAATACCTTCATGCCCGTTTTTTGCATCTTCCTGGTTCTGTCTCTCACTCACTCTCACACACAAAATCACTACCATAAATTTGAAGATTATGATAATATCTAATACATAGTTTTATAAGGAGTTCTGGTGACAACAGTGGTTAAGGTGCTCAGCTGCTAACCAAAAAGGTCAGTCTGCTTCAGTAATGATTTACAGCTTTGGAAACCCTCTGGGACAGTTTTACTCTGTCCTGTAGGGTCCTTATGAGTCAGAATTGACTCAAAAGCATTAGGTTTGGTTTGCTTTGCTTTGGATATAGTTCTATATGGCAGGTGTTGTTTTAAGCATTTTTCGTATATTAACTCATTTAATTTTTGCAGTAATCTTTTGAGGTTGATGTTAGTTCTTTTCATATTTTGGGTGAGCAAAATGAGGTACAGAAAGGTTAAGTCAAGGTTACACAGCTAGTAAATGACAGAGCCTAGATTTGAACTCAGGCAGTTTGGCTATGGGATCCCCCCTTGTACCCATGACTTTTTTCTGTCTAATTATTTCCGTGTATAGATATATTCCTTCCTCTTTTTTAAAAAATTTTTTTGTAAGCTAAATTATATTGTTTACATTCTGTGGCTTGTGTTTTTTTTAAACATTAACTTTTTGAGACTCATTTATGTTGATATATGTAAGTTATTCATGTAACTTATTCTTTCATTTATGCTTTTGTATAGGATGGTATCTTGATGGACTTTGGGGTTTTAGATTTTTTTGCTAACTATTATAAACAATGTTATTCTGATCATCCTTGCATATAAATCATGGCACATGTGCAAAATTTTCTTTAGAATAGCAGTTCTAAAAGTGTGGTCTCAGGATCTTTAGGGTTCATGAGACTGTCTTAGAGGCTCCACAAGATCTTTTTCTTATCCAAGCACATATCTGGGATACTGTCTTAGTCATCTAGTGCTGCTATAACAGAAATACCACAAGTGGATGGCTTTAACAAAGAGAAATTTATTGTCTTACAGTCAGTAGGCTAGAAGTCCAAATTCAGGGTGCCAGCTTCAGGAGAAGGCTTTCCCTCTCTGTTGACTCTGGGGGAAGATCCTTGTCATCAATCTTCCCCTGGTCAGGAAGCTTCTCAGTGCAGGGACCATGGGTCCAAAGGATGCACTATTCTCCTGGCTCTTGTTTCTTGGTGGTATGAGGTCCCCCTGTCTCTCTGCTTGCTTCTCTCCTTTATATCTCAAAAGAGATTGATTTAGG